AGAGGCACACTTGACTGCTGAGTCTAGGAGCTTACTGCAAGGTTTATTTTGATCTTGTGAATTTTTACTAGGGTGCAAGTCTTTGTTCCAAGTGCCGTGTGCAGTTCCCAGAGTTTTCTTCTGTCCTTGTGCCTGAGAGTCCAGTGCTTAGCTGAAGGACACCGTGTTGCTGGATGGTCTTTTGGGTTTGCAGGAGAGATGCCAATGGGCCAGACATCTGCAATACTGCCTCACCACCACTGTACCTTGTCCTTTGTTATTTGATTTTTGTTCCTAAATGCCACCGGTGTTTTAGGGATTAGACTTTACTTCTTTAGGAAAAAAATAATCTCCCAAATTTTGTCTGTTGTTATGGAGATCAAACTATGTCCTCTGGTGGTGTGAATGCTCACCTTTAGGGCTAATTTACTAATAAGGGGAAGTCCGAACAAGGGTGGTATTTCTCCAACCTGGACGTAAATCTCCTCCTCCATTTACTCAGTAACTCTCATCATATTTTGCCTGCACTGAGGTTGACTGCGTGTGAGTAAAGAGGAATGTAACGCATTGGTTAGGGATGTGTGAGGATCTGGGCAGATCAGACCTGGATTTGAATTGGACCTCCTCTACTTTCTAGGGCTCTGAGGCTCAGCCTCCTCATCTGTAAAAAGGGAATAATAACAACATTGTAACAACAATAGTATGATTTATGGCTAGGGTGAGGGCAAATGGGTTAGTACAATTCCTGATTTGTTGGGATTCAGTGCTCGCTATGGCTCTGTCAGGGTGTCACCATCATTACTATTGTCACCCTCATCTTTGTCCCCACCCTGTCACCATCATCATCCCTGACACTGTCCCCATCACCATGATCACAGCTGTCACTCCCATCACCATCATCAGGATCTCCATCATCTCCGTCACCTCCATCATCCTCATTGTCACTGCCCACTAGCGCCTGAGCCCCACACCCATGGAGTGAGCGCTCAGGCAGGGCATCTTCGTGTCCTCAGCCCACTCCTGATGGAGTCGATCCAGGACCCCCAGGGAGAAGACTGGCTAAGCCTTCAGGAGGATAGATGGGGTTTCCTCAAGTGACTCCTTAACTGGCACGGGGCTGGGGTTCCTGACACCTGGTTGGCCTCTGCTGTCTCTCTAACCCTCCCAGCAGATCACCCTCCAGTTCAGGGCATCTCTAGCACGTGGTGAAGGAACAGCCATCTCAGGGCTGCAGGGGATGGGAAGAGACGTTAGCGCGCTCTCGCACTGAGCATCTTGCTGGTAAGGGATGAGGAAACTTGCCAGTCGTGTCTGTTCTTGCCTCCCCACCTTTCCTTGCGTGGTTCTCCCCACTGGAATCCCCACCGCAACTCACAGGGCCCTCTGTGTCCCTGGACAAATGCACCTGCCAAGCAGCAGCACCTGCTCCCTCCTCTAATTGCCAGGGGATTCCATCTTACATTTATGTTTGCCTTTGTCTTCCGATGAGACAGCTGTGGCTTTCACCACAGTAAGTAGCAGTCTAGGACTGGTTCGCTCATTATTTTTTTTTCCATAATTTTATTGATAAACAAATAGCAATGAGACAGTTTCAAATCAAATTGGTAGGACAGTTTCAATAATTAACACATTGCTTACGTTCCTCCCAGTGGTTAATTGCTGTACGGTTTGCTCATTATTGTTTCTCTGGCTCCTGGCATGCATGCACTCCATTCATTCATTCATTCATTCATTCATTCATTCATTCATTCTAGAGCTGTGTCAGGACTGCTCTTGGAATTGGGATTTACCTGATCAGGGTGCTGAGTAGGTGGGCAGAGTCAGAGATGGGTGAGTAAGAGGTGACACCAGGTGTCACAGCTTGTGTTTGCCTGTCCCCCCCTCCCAAAGCTTCATGCAGTCATAGGTGGGGCTTTCTCAGAGTTGGCTGGAGCTAGAGTGTGTGATTGATTCATGGTGTACTGCTAGGATTAAAGGTGCTAGGATGAAGGGTGAGTGATTACTGAATCAATCCACCAACTGGTTTGATGTCGCCTGAATTGAGCCTAGCTATAAGACCATGGACAGAAAGAGGTTTGTCCTTCTCCTTGTTGCTTTGCTACCTTCTGCCTACTGTGGACTGATCTCCTGCGAAGCCACCTGCCTCAGAGCTAGACCATTGTGAACTGAAATCTCTGCAAACTGAGCCAAAGCAACCTTGCTCTCTAACTTTGAGTGTTAGGCATTTGGTCTCACCAATGAGAAGAGTAACCAAGCCACAGGGTTTGTGTGGAGTGGCCCTGAACAGTCCTCTTCTGGACTTTCTCCGCTCCTCGTGTGCACAGGTGCCAACACCCATCCCATCAGGAGGGAGGGGCCCCTAGCTTGGGCCTCAGCCAGTCCTGTCTCAGGGACAAGCTGCTGCAGCTTTCTGCTGCTGTGATCAGTAACAGGTGTCTTACCTCTTGGTTAGTTCTTGGGTGCCATAGTCAGGTGCTGCGTGGCTTAACCAGGAGCAGTCTTGTCTTTCTGGGGACTCACATCCAAGATCAAGGTTTATTCTCTGGATGCCAGGAGGGAGGATCTGTCCCAGGACTCTGCCCAGCTCCTGGGAGTTGCTGGCACCTTTTGTGTGTCCTGGATTGTGAGAGGAGTACTGCCGGACGGCCTTCATTGTCCCTTGGCCATCTCCCTGTGCACTGTTACTGCGCCTGCGTCTCCACGTGCATGAGAGCTTGGTGTTTGCATTAGGCCTACCCAGCTTTAATCTGTCTCATTTTAAAGATCGCATCTGTAAAGAGCCTACTTGCTGGTAGATTTCACTTCGGGGGTGGAAGCCTAGGAGGACACCGTCTTCCCAGGTTACAGTTCGACCCACAACACCAAGCCTTGCTGCAGTACTGCAGGGTAAGTCGAGGCCATGGTTCTCACTGAGGAAACAGAGGGACTGGCGGGCTGGTGCCCAGGAACAAAAGGCCATTGTGCATGGCTGGGATGCAGACCCAGGCCATTCTGACCTCTGAACTGCTCGCCCAGAAGTTTCTCTGCAAGGGACTCTTGGTGCTTTTCCAAGTAGACTGGTCCTTTGTTGTGCAGGGGATAGTTCCTGGGCACATTTGACACCCCCAGCCCCGCCCATCGAGTGACTGTGGACACTAGCCTTGGTGACAGTGACACACAAGTCCCCTGAAGGGTGGCTCACCCCCATGCTTCTGCAGCACTTGCCAGCTGCCGGGAGGGGCCTTAGCTTGGATAGATGTTAGTATTTAAAGCAACCTGAATCCAGGTGTCCTTGTCACTGGAACCTGAGGCCAAAGATAATTCCTGAGCCAGAAGCGGGTGGGTTCCATGGGACCCCGGCTGGCTGCATCTGATGTCACACCCTTGTTGTGCTGGGGTTTCTAAAGCGCTCTCACCCAGGGAGGATGGGACAAGACTTATGACAAAAGTCTCCTCCTAGAAGGAGCAGCTGATCTTATTGGCCTTTAGCTGGTAAGCTTGGAAGGTCACATGTAGTTCAGCCAGTGCCACTGGGGAGGGGCAGGTGGCTCATTCACTTGCAAGGTGTCCTGTTCCCTGGGCAGCAGGTAGGCTGGCTGCAGGAGATCTCTGATTGCTCTTCTGATTGACAGCAGATCACTTTGCCTATCATGGGTGAAGCCCCCACAGCTGCCTGTCAGAAAGACCCCAGAGCCTCTGCGTCCTGTCTCAGAGATACCACTAGCAATGCCACACAGAGTTGCTCCTGCCTTGGGTTTGGTTGAACCTTGTGTTTTCCTAGATGGCTTTACAGTGAGAAAGCAAAATCCTTTATCCCTCTTGTTGGCTGTGTAGTAAAACATGATTTTAATTCAACAAAACTTAGCAGTCTTGGTTAGATACTGGCCCGGCCTGCATTGGGCCTCGCCTGACTCACACTGAGTTCCTAGAAGGTGCCTGCTGTTATCATTCAGTTCTCAGTGAGCTCTTGCATGTGGAAATGTGCCTGATCACTTTGGAAGCCTGACCAACGCTGTAACTTTTTCAAACATGGTAACTGATTAGTGTTTCCAACACATGATTGTCATAGTCATCTTCACCATCCTTTGCAAGGGCAGGGTCTGCATTTTTAAGATTTTTCAGCTCAGCATCAGATAGGAGGGATATACACCCTTGTGCTGCAAGTTCTCTCATCAGTGAGGCTGGAAGACTAAGTGTCCATTGATATCTGAAGTGCCAGGGAGCAATCGATGGGGAAATTAGGTCACATTGTACGGTATCGTTGGCCTCCCTACCTGTGGCTTCTGTGTGTAGATTGAAATGAGCTCAAAGTGAAAAGATTCAGAAGAAGAAATTCAGCTGTGCTAGAAACGTTATGGACCTTTCCCCCCCCCATGTCATCTCTCCTTAATCAATATAATGTGGCAAGTTTTTACAGGGCATTTACACAGTACAAGTAATCTAGAGATGATTTAAAGTGTACGGGAGGAGTATGTAGCCTATATGCAAATTTTACAGCTCCATCTTATAGGAGATGAGAACATCCTCAGAATTTGGTATCTGAGGGGGAAGTTAAGGTACCAAGGGAAAGCTGCAGCTGAATTGGGATTCTCAATGTGTGTTCATGACCAGCAGCAATAGCTTGAAAGCTGTAAACAACCCGGGTCCTGGGAGGCCCCGCAGCTGCCGAATCGGACACTGTGGAGTGGGCACGGGATGCAGTGTGTTTCTATAAGTGCTGATGATTTAGAAGTGCCATGTAATGGCAGTCCTGCCCCAGGCTGTAGGTGACTATTTGCAAGCACAAAATATCTGCAGGTTGGGGATAGAGGTGGCGTAAAGTCTAAGGTGAGAACCGGGAGCAGAAGCCAAAGCTTCAACCTTGACTTTGTCCAAGCACCAAGCAGACTTCGTTTTGCAGCTGTCGAAGCCTGGGCTTCCTGAGTTGCGCTCAGAGTACCACGTGGGAAGGAGTGGGAGCAGCTCAGACGCTGCCCTGCGCCCAGCAGGCGGCTCTGGTGTCCTCCTGCTTCCCTGATCAGGTGCTCTTTCCTTCCCTGCAGAAGTGCATCCGCTTTAACCCGGACGCCACAGTGTGGGTGGCCAAGCAGCGGATCCTGTGCACCCTGAATCAGGGCCTGAAGGATGTCCTCAACTACGGACTCTTCCAGCCAGCCAGCAATGGGCGCGACGGCAAGTTCCTGGACGAGGAGCGGCTGCTGCGCGAGTATCCCCAGCCTGCCGGACCGGCTGTTCCATCCCTGGAGGTACCGAGGCAACGCCTTGCATTGGAAATTACGTACCAAAAGAAAAATACTAGTTTGGGATCCTGAGGCTATTCCTAGTTTTGCAGTGAATTGTGCACTGCTGTGAGATTCTTAGTGGGTTTTTTTTTTTTTTTTTTTTTTTTTTTTTTTTTTTTAATCTTGCTGTAGATTTTAACACATCTGTCAGGAAGAAGTCTTGGTAGGAGCAAACCAAGGGTCCCATTGGAGTTCGTGTCACCAGAACCCATGGGAGGATGTAGAATGGCCTTGCTTAGTGCCAGCCTGAGGCCTTTGGGTTCCCGTTTCCCTCTTCTGGCACCAAACGTGTGGTGCCCCACTGCTCTCCACTATAGGTGACCACCACAAATCCTGGCTCTACCGGTTACCTATGCTTCTCTCAGAGTTGGCCCTCTGTTGGGGTTCTATAAGCCCCTCTTCAGGCATGGTAACATGTTAGGGTGTGTCATAGAGCTCATCTTTATCAGGAAAGATGGTGATGGAGAAGTGTCTAGGCAAAGTCTAGAAGGGTCCCCAGCTCAGTGCTTCTGTCCTGGGGGAGCTGAGGTGCGCCGTCCTCCTGGCTTGGGGGTGGTTTTGCCAACTCGGGAGCTCTTCAAACCTCATATTTCAAGGGTTTTCCTGGTAGGTACGATTGATTAAATTGTTGGCTATTGGTGATCAACTCCATCACCACACACACACACACACACACACACACACACACACACGCTCACTTACTCCCTGGTCAAGGTTAAAGCTGAAAGTCCAACCTTCAGGAATACAGCCCAAGGGGAGGCCAGGTCAGATACTCACCTGTCTGTCTTTGCTTTTCTGTTTCTGTGCCAGTTTCGATACAAGAAGCGGGTGTACAAACAGTCCAGTCTGGATGAGAAGCAGCTGGCCAAGCTCCACACGAAGGTATGCAGGGAGTAGTGGCATTCGGTTTCATGCCAACTTTTCCCTACTGTAGTATTTTTGGAGTCTCTTCTTCCTGGAGCACCTACCTCATGCTCAGGTCATTGTAGGACAGGTCGAGTAAATGGGTGGACAGGCCTCCTGACACACCAGGCTACCCAGAGAGCCATCCATCCAGGAGGCAGCAAAGCCACTTGGGGCTGGGGTACAAGTGTCGATAATCCTCCTGGGTCCTCCAGAGAGGATTAAAATAGTGTCTGAAAGAGGAGGGCTCTGAACACATGACATGATGGAGGGAAGGGGACAAATGTGAACGCTGTGATAGTTTCCATGGTTGTCACTTCAGAACAAACTTTGTTAAGGCGTGTTAACATGGACCATTCTGGGGGAAATGTACCAGTGAGTAATGGGAGAAAGGTACTGTGTTGCCTTGGGAGCCCAGTGCCCAGCTGGACACAGTGTGGGCTGCTGTGCCCAGCATGCCATCCAGCTGGGCAGATAGGGTATTGGTGTCCTGGACAGCCTACTCCTTGCCAGAGAGGCTTCCTGTTGCTGGTTCTGAGGTTTGAACCAAAGCCCTTCACACTGAACTACATTCCCAGCTTTTTAAACATTTTATTTTAAGTTAAGTTCCTATTGCATCAAGTTGCGTGGGCTGGGCTGAAACTTGTGATCCTCCTGCCTCAGCTTCCTAGGGTTCTGGGATGTCAGGTGTGTATCCCTGCACCCAGGTCAGGACACAAGGGTTTTTATTGTGTTCAATGGTGTCTAATATGTCAGTGTCATTTTTTTGATTTTGTGCTTAAATGGTGATTGCCTTTCTACCCAGCTCGCTACGGTCTGACAAGTGCTCATGCTCCTTGGTGCCCTGGCCTCTTCCTGGCACAAGATGCTCTGGGCTCTTCTGTCCCCTGCCTCATCCCTGGAATCCTATTATCTTGGTGTTTCTGAGACTTTTTAAATTACCCTTTAATGCCTAGATAAAACTGTGTTTGTGAATTTAAAGAACATCATTAAATGACAGTGAAGGTTTTAAGTGGCACCTGGGTTCCCTGTGGTTGGGGGCATTTGTTCTGATCCTGAACTATGCAGATGACATGGAGGTGGAAACACCTGCTAGCAGGAGGAGGGGTCCGTGCTGGGAGCCACTGTGGACTCCATTAGTGTTTCAGTAGAGGTGCAGAAAAGAGCAAGGCTGAGCCTGTGAGAAGTGCTAGACTCACCAGCGAGTTGAGGCACTTGCAGTCAGGATCCAGCAGCACAGGGCCTGCTGACCAGTAGGAACCAGCTCCCTGCTAGCTGATGCAGCGGGCGCTGCTTAGGGAAGGTGGAGCACTGACCAGGGAGATTGCATGAGGCAGGAATGTGCCTTCCTCCTGGACTGAGCAGTAGGGATCCCTTGTGTCCAGGGATAACCAGAACAGCAGCTAGACTGAGCGAATGATGGCCCACATGCTCTGCAGTGTGGCTGCCTCTTTAGAGATCCGATCCACAGGGCTCCCAGGGACAGAACCTGGGTGCATCCTGGGAGCTGCAGATTTTCATAGTGGTTCCAGTTCCAGTGACCCACAATGGTAAAAGAACGTCCTGTACCTCTTGGCAAAGTTTAATTTGTGTCTGCTGCTTTATCGGATAACTTTGGGTATATGTCACGAACCACAGACATCTGATTCTTTTGGTCCTGGAGTGTGAGGCGTATAAGGTCAGAGAGTAGCAGATTCAGTGTCTGGGAAAGCCTTCTTCATGGCCTACAGGTAGCACCTTCTCCTTGTCCTCACGTGGTGGGATGGGCTGGGAGCTCTCTAGGGTCTCTGCTAGAAGGGCACGAATCCTCTTTGTTTGGGTTCCACCCACATGATCTGTTTACCTCCCAAAGCTGTACTCCATTGGGAATTGGTTCAGCACGTGGATTTTGGAGGGACACAAACAGCAAGCTGTGTCCCCAAGGTGGCCAACAGTGAGGGATTTCTGAAACCTTCATGTAGGATTGTCCTGTAGCCTTGGCCAAGTACTGACCATGAGCTGCTGCTGCTGAGTGAGCCAGCAGTCACGGCAGCCAGATATGAATGAAGCCAGCGCACCCCAAGGGAGAAGTTGCCCTTGGCCTGTGGGACCAATTCATATGAAGACCTTTCTGTTCTGTTACTCTTCCCTCTAGACCAATCTGAAGAAGTTCATGGATCATACCCAGCATCGGTCTGTGGAGAAGCTGGTCAAGCTGCTGGACCGGGGCCTGGATCCCAATTTCCATGACCTGGAGACTGGAGGTGGGTCCTTGTCAGAGAGGTCTTTGCTGGGCCTCAGTACCTGTAGAAATTCATCCTGAGGCTAAGCCATCTATAAACCCCAAGAAACTTGCACTGTCCCTGTTTTGTCCTGGACCTCATTCCTGTGATTCCCAGGCCAGCCTGGCCTATGCAGCTCACCACCCCACCTGCCTGGGACATGAGGCCCGGCATGGTGCATGATTGGTGAGCAAATAACCAGTGTATGCCCATCTCTGGTGCCTGGCAGAGCCCCACTGGGCAGGGGGAGTGTCCATCATGTCTAGCTCCCTCCTCTGTGAACCTGTGTTCCTTTCGCATGGGGCCTCAGAATTCATTCAGGCCCCAGCGGTTCCACAGTAGTGAAGTTTTCTGGCCTCAGTGCTTTGGCTCTGTCTGGATTGATCTTGGAGACGGGGACATTGTGGAGTGCTTGGTAGTGTCTCTGGCTTTGACCCACTGGATGCCATCAGCACCTCCAGGTGGGACAACCAAAATTGCCTCCCAGTGTACTATAGCCAGTGGGACACGGCTGGCCCTGGTGAGCTCCCCATGACAGTGGACGCCTGCAGGGCCAGTGGCTGTGGGGAGCTGGGGATGGCCTAGGTGAGGGGCTGCACAGTAGCTCAGGGGTCCATCCAGTTGGGTAGGTTCTTTGGAACTAAAGAGTGTTCCTGTTACTCTCAGCAGTAGAACCCCTTTTCTCTCTCTTTCCCTCTCCTCTCCTCCCTCTCCCCTTCTCTCTCTCCCCCTCCCTTTCCTCTTCCCCCTCCCGCTCCCCCTCCTTCTCCCTCTCCCCTTCCCCTTCTCCCTCTCCCTGTCCCCCTCCCTCACCCTTTCCCTGTCCCCCTCCCTCTTCCCACCTCCCTCTCTCCCTCTCTCTCCCTCCCTGTGATGCGCTAGGCCTGCTGTGGACTCCTGCATGATTTCAGGTCACACCTCCAAATCACTAAGCACAGGAGGAATGGAGTATTTGTGGCACTTGCTAGTCACCTGTGGGAGGCCTGGATAACCCATCAGCCCCCTGCTAGGTGTTGGGCATATCCCTGTCTATAGATTGCTTGGGGATATGGCAACCTCTTTTATTCCTGGGCATCTGAGTTTATGGTGAGCAGCATCAGAGCAGGGACAAACTCCTTTCCAATGGCAGCTGTGGCACCTGAGGTGTTAGGAGACAGAACTATATGGGAACATCTTGGGGAGAGGACCGGGAGGGTGGGAGCCTGGCCAGGCCCCAAGCCCAGGGAGGACATCAGGATGGAGTGTGGCGGGGTGTGTGTTCAGGGAGAGGCAGAAGGGCACTTGCCCCAGCCTGTCCCCACACTGCTTCTCCCACCACACTGTGGAGGCTTCTCTCCTGCATTGGCCTTGGGCCTAGGCCCTCTGTACAAGGGCAGGACCGGGCCCATCCCTGTGCACTCAGGCTGTACAGGTAGAGAGACTTGTGCATTCCTGAGCGCATTCCAGGTACATTCGTAGGTGACCTGCAGCCGGGCCTGAAGTCAGGATTCTGAGTTTCGGGGAGAGGAGAATCTGTCCCCAGCCTGGATTCTTGCTTGGCAGTGAGCCATCAATGCCCAATGCCTGGAGTGTGCTGCTGTCTCTGTCTTAGCTATTTCCAGACGGCTCCTTGGAACCTGGTCAGTGCGGCCCATGGCTCTCCCCTGCCTGGTCAGCAGCACAGGAGGTCAGGGGTCCACTCTGGGATCCCCTTTTATTCTCTCAATGACCTCTTCTACCCAGCCCCATCCCAGCACAAGCCCGGCCTCCCCCCACTGGCTTCCCCAGTGTTGGTGTTTCTGGGTTTCAAGAATTTAGGAATGACTGGTATTCCAGAGCAGCCCCTAGCATTGTTTCTAAAAACACAATGACATAGATCTGAATTGTTGAAACAGGCAAAGATGAGACTAGCTCTTATCGCCCTGCCTATAGATAAAGCTGCAGTTGTGATAGTTACGGGTGGAGCCCGTAGGAAGCTTAAGCCCTGGGTTGCTGTGAACAGGTACGGGAGCTGCATAATGAAGGGGCAGGGCCTTCTTGGCTCCATCCCCCTCCCCCATATGGAACAGCCCCACCCTGGACCATAAGCAGTGGAGACAGCTGTGGTCACCTGTGTTCTCCAAGACCCAGACAAGCCGCACAGCTGTGGTTCCCAGTCCTGGGATTCAACTGACTGGGATTTGAAAATATTCAGCGAACGAGATAGTGTCTGTCCTGACCGTGTAAGATGCGGTAAAACAAGTGTTTGCCTAGCATTCACCTTATAGCAAGCATTAGAAATAAGCGTATGGGAGGGGGGGGGGGGGGGTTTATATGCAAGTCACACAGCGTTTCCCAGGAGAGACATGAGTGGCTGCGGCTTTTGGTGCCTTCGGAGTCCGCAAACAGATACCTAAGGGCAGCTCTGTAGTCTGGGTTGGTTAATGGTGCCAAGCCCAGGGAAGAAACAGAGCCACCTCTGTTTGGTGGCACCTCTGCTGAGGGGCTCCTGGCAGAGGGTAAAATGAAGGACAAGTGTCCCAGAGGCTCCAGCAAAAGCCACAGTCAGAAGGACCGGGGGGGGGGGGGGGGTTGAGACAGGGGCCCGTCAAGGCTGAGGCTGCCTCCCAGCGTGCCAGCGTGGGAGGCAGGCCTGCCCTTTGCTGTGACGCTTTTCTCTGCCTCCCCCGGGAAGTTAAGAGCAATCCAACAGAGTGGTTTAGGGGCATGTTTTGTTTTGGTTTTGATAGAAATCATTATTAAGCTAAAAACACTTACTGCGTCAGGCCTCACATTGTGTCTGCCTACTGGTTATTTCTCTAAATCGATTTCCTCCTTGTGGTATTTAAGATTTCTCAGCAAAGTAGAACTTTCCACTCCCTTCCACCACCGCTCGCTGCTTGTTCTTTGAAGCCCGTGGACTTTCTTTCTTAAAAGAGTTCTGGCGTACAGAAAACTGAAGACAAAGCATAGAGTTCCCACGTGAACCAGTCAGTGCCTTTTGCTTCCCTCATGGCTGATGGCTTGCTTTTAACATTGTACGTTGGAGCTGGGGAGATAGCTCAGAGGCATAAGTACCTACCTGGCAAGTACAAGGTCCTTAGTTTGATCCCTGGCCCCACATACAGTGCCGGCCCCAGATTCCCTGGGTGTGGTCGTGCATGCCTGTAATCCCAGCACTTGGGAGTTTAAGACAGGAGGATCACTGAGTTTGAGACCAACCTGGGGGTTACAAAAGTGAGCACAAGGCCAGCCTGGACTGCATAGCAAGACTCTGTCTCAAAAAGAAAAAAAAAAAATTAATATCTATTATCACTGATGAACCAACATGATATGTTATTATTAACTGAAGTTTGCAGGTTAGGGCTCCCTCTTGGAGTCACGCATTCTTTGGCCTTGTAGAACCCTGTAGTTCTTGTATCCGCCACCACAGTTCCCAGGCCCGAAATGTCCTCTGTGTCCCAGCTGCTCATCCTGCCTACCCCTGGCACCCACTGATGGCATTACTATCCCCACAGCTTTGTCTCCTGCAGAAGTTGGAGTTGGAATCACGTGGTCCGAAGCCTCTTCACGCTGGCTTCTTTCCTTAGTCATATGCATTGGGGTTTCCTCCATAGCTCTTCATGGCTCATCCACTGCATTAGCCCTGACCAGCACCCCAGGATCCAGGTGCCCTGTGCTTATTTATTCTTTCACCTGCTAAGGAGAGCTGGGTTGCTTTATGTTTTGGTGATTACAAATAAAGCTGCTGTGAACATTTGTGAGCAGGCTTTTTTTTTTTTTTTTTTAAACAGGGACATAATTAACAGAGATAACCCATAATAGAGGTTTTTAAGACTAAATATTTGGAGCCTGGTGAAGGGGAAGATTGAAAGTAGAAAGTTCTGAGGATGTGTCCAGGGGCAACTGTGGGGCAGGTAGCGCTGCCTTCCCTGCCACCCTCCCCACCCCGCTGTGATCCTATCAGCATCCGAGGGGTTTTCACTCATTTCCCTGAAGTCAGAGAGAAAGAAGCTCATGGTCCTGGCCGTACGGGGTGAGATGCAGTGGGAGAAGCCACCTGTGGCACTGGCTTAGCTGAGAGTCCAGAGCCAGTTGGTATTGGGACAGCTCACCTGCACGTTTCTTTGGGCAAAATGAGTTAGCAGGAACTACTGTGTCCTTGTGCTCAACACACACACGCACGCACACACAGAATATCGCTGGAGACTCAGGGCTACAGTGATATAGGTTCATGGCTGCGAGCCCCAGAGGCCAGCTCAGCACCCGGACATAGACTGCTCAGGGAAACCCGCTCTTAACCCCAGCTTCACCCCAGCTTCTCCCCAGCTGGCCTGATTAAGACCAGGTTCTGGGACCCCTCTGAGCTTTGGAAAACTCGGCTCCTGAATCAGATGACTGTCCCCATGGTCCGGGATCCAGGAGCAGTGGATGGCACTAAGTGTATCAGCATGGGTCATCTTCACAGGGCTTCCAGAATAGCTCTGTCATCATCAGCTGCAGGAATTCAGCGGATACTGTTTTCCACTAGTTTGGGATGCAGAGGAAAAGAGATGGCGGTCACTTGGGTGGGTTCCCTCCCGGCTGTGAGCAAGTTATCTGGTATCTCGCAGGCTTCTCACATCTCCTAGAGCTGCTTCCTCCCAGGGAAACAAGTACTGTTGTCTTCACAGAAATGATAAAGTCACTTAACACAGCTGCGCTTAAAGGACAGAGGACCCTGCCATCACGATGTGCCTGGAGCTGTACAAACCTCTCCTCCCTAATCCTTTTGCATCTGGCGAGGCAGGTCCCCTCTGGGCACCTTGTCCTTGGAGAGGCTTGAAGCTGTGGTGTGAGGTGGCATCTCTGTGGTCTGAATGCTGGTTCGCTCAAATCCCAGCATGGAAACTCCCCCTTGGTGGTGGCTTAGTGGAGGGCCAAGCCATGAGAGGCCACGGGGTCACGGGGGTGGAGCCTGTATGAACGCAACCAGAGCTCTTAGGCCGGAGGCCTCAGAGAGCTAGCTCCCTGTCCATCTACCATGGAAGCATGCAGCCTGAAGTTCCTGTCTCTGACCCAGGAAGCAGGACCACACCAGACATGGACTCTACTGGCGTGGTAAACTTGGAATCTAGACTCCAGAGCTGCAGGCAACATGTATCTGCTGCTTGGGAGCCTCCTAGCCCCTAGGCCTTGTTAGAGTCGCACAATCTGATGCTGTCCCCAAGTGACCAGCAGGGGCAGAGACGTAGCCTGGGTTCTGCAGCCTGTAGGTGTGGGTTTTCACCCTCGGCCTGCCATCTGACTGCTGCGCTGGCTGGATGTGGCCCTAGCCCTGATCTGGGTTGTAAGGGTGGCTCTGGTTTGGGACCAGCTGCATCGGATCTACCAGGCAGGGCCAGTGGGTAGAAAGAGGGCGCTCACTTGCCCTTTCCTTCAAGGTGGACCCTTCCTCCTGCTGGGCTGCAACAGCCTTTGCACATCCTTATCCTGTACTGCAGGCTTCACGCTGGGTTTGGTGATTTTCTACCCACTGAGCAGCAGAATCTGGCTGTAAAGCAGACTTCATTTTCTGGGCCTACAATCAGAGGCAGCTTCCTTCTTAAAACCAAGAAGAAAAAAAAAAAGAAACTGACCCATCACCCAGGCTTGTCCAGTGTCCCTGACTCAGAGCCGTTCTTGGGCCAGAGTCAGGGGAAGCTGCCCTTCTGGATTGAGTGGCATTTGAGAGATAATTAAATCACAGTGGAATGACCTGTCAATTAAAACCAAGCAGCCTGTGCTAGCACAAGCAGCTGTCGGCTACCTGTTGAGAATGTAAATTTCATTAAGTAGCAATGATGAAAATAGAATAGAAAAATGAAAGAGTTAGTTCTCCCACTGGGGACGCGGGCTGAGCTTTTGCTTTGGTTGGAACCTAGGGAATCAGACCACAACCTGGCAAGGAAATAAAAGTGACAATTTCAGTGGAATATTATCTGGCATTTTTCTTTTACCCTGTGGCTTCCAAACTTGAGAAGCCCCGTATGTGACAAGGGAAGAGTTGGCAATAAAGCCTGAAGTGCTCTTTGATGCTTTAAACATCTTGAGGAGAAGCAGAAGTTAGGATATTGTTTTATTAGGCCAAATTGTGCAGGAGCCCGTGACGTACGTGGAGTCATTTATAAGATCCGGTTACTACCCAGGCAGTGTTGTGTCCATCGCCTGTCAGGCTGGGGCTGCCTGCGAGTTAAGCTGTTCATCATCCGTGCTGGAGGAGCTGCTTCTGCCCACACGTTGCCGCAGCGGGCTCCTGGGGAGCCCCTTCTGGGGTCCCACATGGCCCAATTAGAAGGATTCACGGACCTTCTGCTTCCGAGTAGGCTGAGTGCCGCCTGGCTTGGGAGCGGAAGGGGCTCGCTTGGTGCATGTGGTGGTGGATGGTATCTGGCGGTCTCCCTGCAACCCAGCAATGAATCACTGCCTGTAATTCCCCCAGGAGTAACAATACTAGGGAGGATGGGGTGACTGCAGGGGGCGAGATCCTGGGACCTCAAACAGCAGCCTAAAGTGGGTGAGAGGGGCACAGTTACCCTTCACAGATGAAGGTGGGCTGAGGACTACAGGCAAATAACTCCCTCTGCCACGATGGATGCGTGGAGGCATTTGGCTTGTCAGGTACCAGCTCCTAATAAACAGAGACTAGGTTTCAAGTGAGAGCTCACAACTAGAATCCAATTAGGGTGGGATTGCTTTTATTTATACCTGGATGTATTCTGGAGGGGAGTAGAGGCGTCCATAGAGGTGTGTGTGGTAGAGCAAGGCACAATACAGACGCAGGACACAGGGTGGTAGGGAGATGAGCCCCGGGCCAGGCCCCGAGGGGGTTGCTGTTAGGCCTGGACACAGTGCCAGGCTTACGTTTACAGAAAATCAAGCCAAAGAAGCAAAGAGTTCCTGTGTATCCTGCCTCCTTTTGCCCTGCTGTTAACAATTGGCCATGTGCTGCTCCTCCGTTACAGTGGCTGGAGCCCCAGGCGTCTACAGGGCTCCCTCTTGCTGTTCTGAGGACACTCCGGGTTTGGGCAGAGACCTCTGTGCTGTACTCACCATCGGAATCATGCAGGGTTTTATGACAGCCCTCAGCATCCTTTGTGCCCCCCTGTGTATTCCTCTGTGCTCCAGCGAGCCTCTGGCCTCCACTGCCCTTGCTGTCTCTGTGGTTTACCTCTTCTAGAATGGCACGGAGTTGGAGCCACACCCAGAGCCTTTTCACACTGGCTCCCTTTGCTTAGCGATAGGCATTCATGGCTCCCCTTTTCATGGCTTGATAGCTCATTTTCAGGACGGGGTAATATTCCATGATCTGTGTGTACCACTGTTAGCTCACCCGCAGCGGGGCAGTGGGATCTATGCAACTCGGGGAAATTGTGAATAAAGCTGCCCTATACTCCCATTCAGCTTCCTGTGCAGACAGCGTCCCCAGCTCATCTGGGGGAAACACGATTGCCCCTGCGCTTGGCGAAGAGTGTGTGCTTTGTTACCCTGGTGTTCCGTACACTTCTGTGGCACACACACCTCTCCACTGCAGCCTCACCTTGCTTGGCAGCTCAGGCAGGGACACGAGGAAGATTAGGACAAAGCAGAAAGAGGCTTCATAGCAAATACTGATGCCCCGTCACAGCTGGCCACAGGGAGTGCCAGGGTCACCCACTCAGGGCCCCTCCTGACCCTTGTTGCCACACAAGAGGACCTCACCCTTCTGGCTTTGGCGCCCCTGCAGTGGAGCCATCCTGACTGTACCGCCCGCTGGGCTCTGGCGGCGGGGGTGTTCACCCCTGTCCTGTGGCTCCAGTCTTGAAGTTCAGTTTCCAGCCTCTGCATGCAAGCTCAGCCTTCACAGCTGCCCTGAGTGTTGTTGCTAACATGCATGCGTTTGGGGCCCTCAGAGACTCCCCTGACCCTGGCTGCCCAGCTAGACGACTCCATGGAGGTCATCAAAGCCCTCCGAAATGGCGGGGCTCACCTGGACTTCCGCGCCAAGGATGGGATGACAGCCCTGCACAAAGCCGCCCGAGCCAGGAACCAGGTTGCGCTGAAGGTGCGTCCATGCCTGTCCATGGTCAGAGACACTGCCCTCTCGGTTCCCGGAAGCTGTCCCCACTGGAACTTGGAGGACTTTTCTGCCCTTTTTCATTGGCACTGCTGCTTCTAGAATTTATTGTCCTCAAAGCCTGGCCCCTGGGGGAGGCTGCCAGCCCTTCAGAAGTCACTGTGCCCACCCTGCCACCCAGCAAGGCTGTGTGCACCCCCAGCATCTTACTCTTTGGTGGTCTCCTGCTCTTCCACCTGCCCCAGCTGTGTTTGAGAAGCATGTATGGGAAACAGGGGCTCCTAGGCCTTCTCCATCAGAGCCCTGGTGAGGGAGGATGGGGTTGCTAGTACAGGCGTACCCAACATGGGGCTTCCCCCCTCCCAACTCTCAGCCTCAGCTGTGCCCTTCCACTGGCTTCTGCAGAAATCATGTGCATTCCCAATGCTACTCGATAGGTCTGTGCCCCTAGTGCGCAAGGATGTCCTGCGTGTTCTGTTAAATGGCACAGCCTCCCTCTCCTGCAAGCACTGCCTTTCCTTGGTTGCCCTCCATCACTGCTCGCCAGAACATGGGGTTGCAGGCCACAGGCGGGTCTGAGTGCCGCAGCCCTGTGCCGGTCTCTGTCTTCTGCTGATCCTGCAGGCCTGAGCTCCCACCACCTGCCACCTCAGGCCTAGAAAGGTCACTGTCTCTACTTAGGACCTGCTTAATTCTGAGTTCATGAGAAAATCATGGACCTCAGGGCCACCTTGGCCTGCAGGAGCATACTGCTTTGATTGTTGCCCTCTGTGCAAAAACCATGATGAGACCAGTGACCCTGACTTTGGAATTTTTTTTTTCCCCAGACCTTGTTAGAGCTTGGTGCCTCCCCGGATTACAAGGATAGCTACGGTCTCACGCCACTCTACCACACAGCCATTGTGGGGGGCGACCCCTACTGCTGCGAGCTGCTGCTACACGAGCATGCCACCGTGTGCTGCAAGGACGAGAATGGCTGGCACGAGATCCACCAGGTGTGTCCGCGCCTCCCGCAGCACCTGTGCGCTGCCCCACTCCCACCCGGGGACCCAGTCGTGCTTGGTACCCACAGGCTGGTTCCCGCCTCCAGTCACTTCGTTCGACCTCCCAGAGATCCTAAAACATTTGGATCAGTGATCGGCATTCACATAGAGACTAGAAACAGATAATCCTGGCTTCTCTGGAGAGAAGTTGGAAGGGAATGTGGGCCTGCTGCTCTGCTTGACTCTGTCCCCTGCCCTTGGGGGGCAGGTCCTCCCTCAGCTGAGCATGGATTCTCCAGTCCCCACAGCCCTGCAGGCCCTGCTGCAGATGGCTTCAGGGCCCCTCTGTGTGCCGGTGACCAGGGTGCAGGGCCAGCTTTAGATGGACAAATCTTGTGTTGTTTGGACCCCACTTTACAGTACAGGATTCAGGGTGTCAGCTCTGGTCTGCAGGGGCAGAAGCCACCTGGTGGTTCAGTAAGAAGAGTTCAAAGGCCAGGAGTGGCTGTGGGAAGGAGCAGGCGTGGGGCCCCAGAGGCGAGGGCCTGCTCAGGACTGTGTCCTGAAGGCTGCACTGAGGAGGAGGGAGCCAGCCCAGCCAGCACTCTGCCTCCAGGGCCACAGCAGGCATGTTCTGGGCTCATGTAGTGACCAGCAGGCGCCAGTGCACTGAGATGGGGGGAGGGGTGACTGTGGCTCCTAAGCCTGTGCTAAGTCACAACTTGCCATCATCTCCACAGTAGTATAATAACTGGGCTGCAGAAGGGGTTTCCCCGGAAAGAATCCTGACTATCTCAGGATGAGGGCCCCAAGGGCCTTTCCGAGCTCTGAGGCCCTAAGGTCCTGAGATACCCTGCTTGGAAGAGGGCAGTGCTGGGACGTCAGTGCAATAGTGAGCTAGTTAGTACTAGCTAACTCTCTTTGCCTGCCTGCCTGCCTGCCTGCCTGCCTGCCTGCCTGCCTTCCTTCCTTCCTTCCTTCCTTCCTTCCTTCCTTCCTTCCTTCCTTCCTTCCTTCCATTACTGGCCACTGAACCCATCACTTTCACACTGAGCTACATCCTCATCCCACCCCTATTCGAAAAAAATTTGAGCTAGGGTCTTCCTGAGTTCCTAGATGCACAGACAGGCTGGGCTTCAATTTCAAATCCTCCTGTCTTAGCCGCCCTGTGCTTATAGCCTAGAGCACGTGATGGTGGCCCTTCTGTGGGCGGTGGGGACCCTGGTGTCACTATGGGCCTGCCTCTTGGCTGTGATTTCTGGTTCCACCAAGTGCAGAGTTTCATCTCTGAGGTCCTGAGCTTGGATCCAGAGCAAACTGCCCTCCTGTCTGCCCTTTGCCCTGCCCTTTAGCCCAGAGTGTGTGGAGGCACTAACCCGAGTCCTTGTGCCCTCCACCCAATTAGGGTCTCTAGAGGCTCCGCTGTGATGCTGGTGTGGACTGCCCTCTGGTGGTTGGTTTCTTTTCAACGCTGTCTGGAAAAGTGACTTCCTCCTGCTGGTTCTTTTCTTTTTTTGTGGAACCTGGGATTGAACTCAGGCCCTTGCGCTTGCCAGGCAAGTGCTTATTCTACTGAGTTATCTCCCCAGCCCTTCCCTGCCGGTTCTTTAAACTCCTAGAAACCTCCCTTATCTGTGCTTCCCCATCCCTTGAGTCCTGTTGAATCAGGACCCACCCTGATGACCTCATTTTACCTAATTTTTTTTTTTCTTTCAGTACTGGGGATTCACCCAGAAACAAACTCAAAGCTATGCCCCCCAGCCCTCATTTTATGTTCATGCAGGATCTTTTAATTTGCTCAGCCTGGCCTCACACTTGGGATCCTTCTGCCTCAGCCTCCTGAGTAGCTGGGATTATAGGCCTGCGCCACCATACCCTGACCTTAATCACCTCTTAAAAGACCCTGTCTCCAGATACTGCAGCCACATGCTGAGGCTAGGACTTCTGCATAAATGTCAAGGGGACACAGTTCCACACATAGTGCTGGTCAGGACAGAGCTACCGGCTCTCAGGTTTGTGCCACAGTCCATGCCCTGGCTTGGCTTCCCCACTACACACCTCGGTGTCCACCTGCCATGGGGCCGGCAAGAAGACTGAGGTGCAGGGCTGTGGAGCAGCAGGTGGCTCCAGCCAACCTAGGAGCCTTTGCAGGGGTGTGGACAGCAGTTGTCTCTCCGCTGACAGCATCCATTTCCTCATCCATCAGGGCTGATGTGACGAAGCTTGTGTCCTGTTGGGTCATGATATCCACGGGTTGTAAATGAAGCCTGTGCCGTGAAAGAGATGCCTGTGTGTTTTGATTTAGTTCACTGGGACACAGAGCAAGGTGGAAGTGGGGGACGTCTTGTGCACAAGTGATTGCTGTCCCCTGTGCCACTGTGCAGTGAAGTCTGTGCTGCTCTGGTTGCGTGTGTTGGGCATTGCACAACCCCAGGGGGCGCTGTCCTCCCTTCTATAATTTTAGGTGTGGAGATTTATACCACATGCCCAGCAGGTGGCAGTAAAGTGCTTAAAGGAAGGCGTACTCCATGTCCTGATTTATACCCTGACTGTGGCTGGCAAGTGGTGAGTGGGCTGCTGGGCATAGCTGGGGTGAACCCAGAACCTGTGGGGAGCACCTGCATACACACACACCCCCCACTTCCCCAGATCCTAAGCAGTGGCTGTGGGTGGGGCTCCTGGACACGGATTACCCACAAAGCAGTGCTTCGCCTTACATGATGGGTGTACTCGGACCCCTGCCAATCCTCTCTCTGTCCACTGGCCAGAAACCGCCTTGCCTGCCTCAGAGAGGACACTTTTCTTGCTTTAACCCTTTGGTAGCTTTCCCTGTCTTTGTGTCAAGTAAGTGACGTGTTCTTTTCTGAGTTATAAAAGATTGCTTCCATTTTCAAAGTTCGAGACGATATACAAGGATGACACAGAGAACGCCACACGCCCTTCCCTTGGAGACCACATCTGCATTTACCAGTTGTCCTGTGGTGTCCCTTAGGGTCAGAGGATCCGCCTGGCATCCTCCCCGACCCTTACTCTGGGAGAGCGCCTGTCTTCCCTGACTCTCCTGCCTGGGCCCTTATGGTGACTGTGGGGCAGTCACTGTAGACGGCCTTCAGTCCCCTGGGTGTTTGGTGTGCTCCTGTGATGCGATCCAGGCTGTGCGTGGTGGCCAGAGCGTCCTGGAGCCGGGCACCGTGCCCTTGGCCCTGCTTCCCATGGGACGGCCCCTGATGGCCGTGTGCCCGTCACCAGTGATGTTCCTGCTGGTCACCTGATCCACGATGCCTGCTGAATTTCCAGCTTAGTCTTTCCCTTATTTTACCTATCAAGTCCACGCTGGGGGTGGGTGTGTCTTGGAGCATGCACCGTCTACCTGCGCATACCCCTGCTCCTGCTGCACACGCTTCAGTGCCTGAATTGGTTCTGGCTGCCACAGCCACCAAGGGGACATTTTCTGATAGCATCGCTGCTTCTGCATCTACTGGCTTTCTAGTTTTGTTTATTACTTGTTTGTTGATGGCAAGGTAAACTTGTGGCTTTCTACTAAATAATAACACTCTGTGGTGGTTGTTATCCCAGTTTGGGCCGTGGGGGCCCCTCAGGGGGCGCCTTTTCTTTTGCACGCATCTCCATCCTTTTTGAGCCCCTCTCCCTTCCTCCCTTGCTTCCCCCTCTCTCCCCCTCCTCATTCTTTCCTTCCCACTCCCCCCCTCCTGCTCCCCTCTCTCTCCCTCCCCTTCCCCTCTCCCTCTCTCCCTCCCTCCCTTCCTCCTTCCCTTCTTTTCTGATGCAAGGAGATATTCCAAGGTTGCTCTTGTTCTTTTTCTTCCCCAGCCCTGAGATCAGCCACTTCCACTGGGAACCCTGGACCCCTTCAGTGGGGAAGGATATTTATTATTTATTATTTATTTATTTTTTTTTTGCAGGGGAAGGATATTTAGAAACCAAAATTTGGTGGCAGGTGTGCTCACTGTCACAGGGCTGCTGCTGGCTCTGCATGCTCTCGGGAACCACAGTTAGATGGGTGGACATGTCCATAGAGTCCTCACTGCATGTCCCAAGGACACCAGAAGCCGTGATGCTCAAGTCCCCGACACAAATTGGCCTAGTGTCTGCATCTAACCTACGTACATCCTCCTGCATAGCATAGCTAGCTCTAGGTGATGCGTCACACCCAGTACCACACAAATGCCATGGAAGTAGCTGTTATACTGTATTGTTTAGGGAATAAGGACAAGAAAATGTCTTTGTGTGTTCAGTGCATTTTTTTTTCAAGTGTTTTCCATCTGCGATTGGTTGAATCTGTGGACGTGGAACCTGAGGATGCTGATGACCAGCTGTATAAACTTTGAGTTTGTTTTTTTTTCTCTGAAAAGAACAGTGGGTCCATCTACCCCCTCCCAGGCCCGTGCCACAGGGGATGCTGCCATATTCCCCCCGAGCTGTCTTTGCCTTCTGTCTTCCACAGCGAAGGCCCAGCCCTTACTTGCCTGTCTTTATTCACCTATTTGTTGCTTCTCTGGCTGAGCCAGTCTGGTGACCCGGTGACCACGGCTTGCCTGGGCTGCTCAGCCCTCTGCACCCTGCTGGCCTCCTGTCCCACACCATGCAGTTTTCCCTCTTTAACGACTGGGGGTTAGAAAGCAAAAGAAAAGTGAAGCTGGCCCTTTAAAAGCACAGCTGGTGAGATAGCCCAGCGGACTAAGCCTCTACTTAGGCAAGCTCAGGGACCGAGGTTCAATCCCCAGCTCCATGTGCAGGCCGGCCCTGCCCCAAGGTACACTGAGTATGCCTGTAATCCCAGCGCTGGGGAGGCTGAAAACAGGAAGATCACTATGAGCCTGAGCTGGGTAGTGAGACTCTGAAATAAATACATAAAAAATAAATAAAAGCACAGTGACTGGCAGAATAAAGATCATTTGGACTATATAAGAGATGCTAAATTGATTACAGATATTGAAATTTTTAAAAATCTATTAGCGTATGCAATCCATTGCCATCGATTCCCCTCAAAGCGTTCGCCTTTGCTTCAAATGCACTCTTGTCATCATTCCTGCTACTTTCCAAAGCAGTTCCAGAAGCTTCTTCCATGACTGTGATAGTTCTTTTTCAGTTTGCTTGCTCTCACGCTCCCGCTCGCTCCTGCTGTCTGTCTGTGTCTCTCTGACTCTGTCCTTCCGTCCCCCCATCTGTCCCTCTCCTTCCCCCTCCCCCTTCTCCTCCCCTGCTCCCTCCCCCTCCCCTCCCCTCCCCTTCTCCTTCCCCCCTCCC